TGTGCCGGGTTATAACATTGGTATCAGAGGTGTTGGTTGTGATGGCCGACCAAGTTGAACACTAAAATCCTATTGTCGATGGTGGTGTCGATGATGGTGCTGACGAAGCTATGGAGGTTTGGACTATGGAAGATGTTGTTCATGAGTTGTGAGCCCTTAATAAAAATCAACAAGAGATGCAAGACAAAATGCATGGCATAATGAGTACCTTGCATGAGCATGTTGAGGCACTCAAGGCTGGTCATGGTGGCACTCTAAGTAAGCCTTCTTTGGTGGATTGACTCAAGATTCCAACCTTTTTTGGTGATGGTGGTATGGATGAGTGTGTAGCTTGGCTAGCTAATATAAAGAAGTTATTGGCTGCTAGAGGAACTCCGGATGCAAAGGCTTTAGTGCCTATTCCAATGGTTTTGTGTGATGCGGGTCTTTAGTGGTGGAATTGGCTTGAAGAGTATTGTGCTGCGGATAAAAAACCATTAGTGTCTATGATGGATGAATTTGAGGCTGCTTTCCATTTAAGTTTTGCACTTCACTATGACGTGGAAATGCTCACACCAAACTTTGACATTTTCAGCAAGGGAAAATGAAGCTTGGGGATTATATTGAGAAGCTGACTTGCTTGATTAGCCGTGTTCTAACGAAGAATCCAGATCAGAACAAGTCCTACTTTATTGATGGCTTTCATAGTGAGAGCATGCGGCAACACTTGCATCATTCTCAGTTTACAAAGTGTTTGGACGAGCTCTTTGATGCTACTCGTCGACTTGATAATAACAAGTATAAGTCTTACAAGCATTCGAGGAGTCCTTTTGTTGAGAATCGTCATGATGATCATTGTGGACACAAGGATGGGAATAAACATCACAAGCTGAAATCTATGGTGGCTACTTCGGGTACACAAGGTCAAAGAATCAAAAGTTCTTTGTGAAGAATTTTAGACAAGGTTGTCATTATTGCAGCAAGTTGGGACACTACAAAGTTGATTGTCCACAGTGAAGAGCAAACAACATGGCAACAAGAATGGCCAATCTTTTACTAACTGTAAGTCAAATACTAAGAAGTTGCAAACTTTGCAGCACAAGGATGACGGGGATGACCATTCCAGTTAGAGGAAGAAGCTTTCAATTATTGCTCATCAACTTAACTGTGTGTGGAACAAAGTCAAGGACACTCGTGCATCAGCTTTAATGCTGAAGGGCATGTTTTGTGGCAGTCTAGTGTAAATTTTACTGGACAATGGAACTTTGTTTCCACAAAGTTTGTTAATGAGCATAGTTTGGTGACATAAAGAGTTGTTTCATATATGATGGAAGGTGTAGTTACTTCTACTTAGCATTTCGATATTTGTGTAGAAAGGCTAGAAGTGTTGGTTGGCAAAACCACACTTGTGAAGACTTTTTATCTCATGGATTTTCATTGTGTGGATCTCATTCTTAGGATGTCATGGTTGGTGAAAGTGGATCCGGAGATAAAGTGGAGTATTAAGTGTGTCTTGTTAGAGTAAGGTGGTGTTAAAGATGTGTGGTTTAGAGAGGGAGTTCAACCTCTAGTTGTTATGCTTTCCATTACATCTTTGAAGCGGGCTTGTCGTAATGGAAAAGCATTTTTGAGTTACTTGCTGTTTATTACTAACTTGGGGGACCAAGTCATGTGTGGAGGAGAGGCAGCAGTGCAGACTATACTCGAAGAATTCTCTGATGTTTTCCCCTTTAAACTTCCTGCCTCCATTACGAGGTGTGGAGCATGGGATTACATTGGAGCCGGGAATGCGGCCAATTTACTAGCGTCCATTTCAGTTGAGTTATGATGAAGAGTAAAAAGTTCAATAACAAATCAAGGAGTTATTTGAGTTTGGATTTATTCAGCAAAGTAAGTCTCTATTTAGTGCTCTGGTCTTGCTTGTGAAGAAAAAAGACAGTTCAATGAAGATAAGTATTGACTACTGTGCCTTGAACAAGAAAACCATGAAGGACAAGATGCCGATGCCGCATGTGGATAATATCTTAGACAACCTTGGTGAAGCACGAGTGTTTACTAAGATTGATCTAAGGAGTGGATATCATCAGATTGCAATGAATGATGCATCTATCTCCAAGATGGCATTTAACACAAGTTTCAAGCATTTTGAGTTTACGGTTATATCGTTTGGTTTGACGAATACATTAGCCACATTTACTCGGTTGATGACAAAGGTCTTTAAGCGTTATTTTCATGAGTTTGTGGAGATTTTCTTGGATGATATTCTTGCTTTCAACAAGAATATGAAGGAGCATAAGGTGCATTTGCACAAGGTTCTTTTATTACTCCGTGACAACAAATTTTATGTGAAGAAGAGCAAATGTGAGTTTGCAAAGTTGAAGGTGGACTATTTAGGCCATATTATGATATCCAAGGGTGTCAAGAGGGATCTAAAGAAGGTGGTTATGGTGGAAAACTGGCCTACACCGACTTTAGTGGTTGAGTTACACAATTTCCTTAGTATAGCTAGTTACTATTGACATTTTTAGCATAAGTTTGCAGAGGTGGCTATTCTTTTGACATGATTGTTGCACAAGAATGTGTCATTCAAGTGGAAGAAGCAATGACATAACCATTTGTGATGCGAGTGGTTATGCACTGGGAGGAGTTCTCATACAAAAGGGACAACTTATTATATATGAGAGTCAAACTTTGAATCCCACGGAGCAATGCTATTCCACATATGAGCAAGAGTTACTCTCCATTGTTCATGCTTTGTAAACGTGGCGGCATTATTTTTATGGTGTAGTGGTCATGGTGTTGATGGATCACAAACCCCTTGTATATGTTTCCACACAGAAGGAGTTGAACACTAAGCAAGCTTGTTGGATGGTCAAACTCATGGAGTTTGGGGAGTTTCCTATTGAGTATCATTTGGGAAAATCAAATATGCTGGCGAATGCTTTATTTCATGTTTGCCATGTGATGGCATTACAAACATAGTTTTGTCATCATTTGAGTAAGGTGGTTAGCGAGTTTGAGTAGTTGGTTGAGTGTGCTCAGGCTTAGGATGTTGAGGTGGTTTCGTTGCAACCCCAGATGGAAGCACCTTTCTCATTGGTGGATAGGATTCTTTACTACAATGGCCATGTGTATTTGCCACGGGTGGATGCATTAATTATTCAAGTTTTATTCCACTATCATGATCGTCTAGAGGCCGGTCATTTTGGGGGGAAGAAGACATATGAGTTGATTAAACACAATTTCTATTGGAGGAATATAAAGGCTGATATCCTTGAGTACTGTAAGTCATGTGAGCTCTGTCAACGAGTAAAGGTGGGAGAAGTCGGGGGGACTTTTGCAACCTTTACCTATTCCTTAGAGCTGTTGGTGTAGTATCTCCATAGACTTCATCACTTGTTTGCCACGAACATAGAGGTAAAAGGAGTAAGTATGGGTTATAGTGGATCGCTTAATAAAGTATGTGCGGTTGTTGGCTCTTTGGAAGAGTGTCACTGCCTTAGATTTGGCTGCGGTCTACTTGGAGAAGGTTTTTCCTGATTTTGGTTTGCCAAAGGACATTGCTAACAATTGAGATTCAAAGTTCATTAGTAGATTTTGGAACAGCTTTGCAAAAGCTATGCAAGTGACTCTGAAACTCTCAAGTGGAGATCATCCTCAAATGAATGAGCAAACCAAGTTTGTGAATCCAGTGGTGGAGGATATGCTACACTATAGCATTGGTCAAAGGCAAGGATTGTGGGATTTATATCTTCTATTGGTGCAATTTGCCTATAACAATAGGCAATATAGTGGAACCAAGCTAAGTCCTTAGTTTGCCATGTTTGGAAGGCATTCTCGAACAGCAGTGGAGTTGGAATTGCATTTAAGTAAGGATGTTCAAGAAAAACTTAATTTAGAGGTGACTAATCTGGCTACGGAACTTGATGAGATTTTGGTGGCATGCAAACGGAATTTGCAAGCAACTCAGGATAGAGCGGAGAAGTTTGCTAATGAGCATCACTAATTCTAGGAATATAAGATGGGTGATTTTATCTTTGTGCAAGTGATCTTTTTGTCAAGTGAGTAGTGAAACACTTTAGTGCCTTTGTAGAATGGGAAAAGTGATAAACTTTGCCATCAGTATGCTAGTCCATTGAAGTGTTAGAGCACATCAGTAAGGTGGCTTATCAAGTGTGGCTGCCAGCTGGGGTGAAAATTCATTTAGTATTTTATGTTAGCCAGTTGAAAGGTGTATTATTTCGGAGTGACAGGCCCAATGCCTTCTTAATGTATACGACTGTGGAAGATGGATTAGGAGATTGAGCAGGGTTCCCTAGAAAGGGTGATCACTAGTACAACTTCTCTTTGGCACAAAGACTTTATTAGGGGGAAGAATTGTTAGGTGCCAGCTTTGACCACGTGGTCAATGTCAGTCAAAGGGAGGCTCAAGGGTATATTAAGGCAAGTTAGAGTAAAGAATTTAACCTACCCTAGAGCTCACTGGGTGCAAAGGAGCTTTTGAGGTAGCTCGGGGGTGGTTGGGTGGTGAGGAACTTCAAGAAGGAGCTTAATCTAGTTTAGGAAGATTAGATCATTGACCTTTCATACCGTGTTATAACATAATTATTGTTCATGATATGGATGGGGACATAACACTGGAACTTTTGCCAAATGTCAATAATATGCTAAAAAATATTCTTATTCTCTTTTGACATTTATGGATAATAGGAATTCTATTTCTTGTGCTTCTCTATCACCAACAAATAACAAAAGTCCTCCTATTCTCTCTCCTCCACTCTCTTTCAGAAGGCAGGCTATATAGAATGCAATGGATTTATAACATGCAATATAGAATTAATGGAGGATGAGTAGTTTATGTTTGTTTTTGCTGGAGTCATAAATAGTATAAATGTGATGATCTTGGTGGATTTTGGCTTAGCAATTTCCTCTATTCAGTGTTTAATTGTTTGAAGTTTCATTATAGCAAGTCTCTTGTACTTCTGTTTACTAATCATAAGTCATCAGCATAGATATTATGTATGGAAACGCTGGTTGTCTACGCGTGGTGTGGGCATTTGGAGGAATCGAGAAGGATCTTTGATGCATTGCCGGCCAAGAACATCGCATCATGGACAGCGCTTGCGACCGCGTATGCCGAGAGTGGGCATCCGGGGGAGGCCAAGGCAGCGTTCAATCGAATGGCGGTGTGGGACGTAGTTTCCTCCACTGTGATGGTCAAGGCACTGGGCGATTGCAGGCGGATTGGATCGAGCAAGGCGGTGTTTGATGCAATGCCCGAGAGGAACTGCAAGACGTGGGCGACGCTGCTGCAGGGATTTGCTCGCAGTGGAGAGATTGGGCGAGCAAGAGAAGTGCTGGATCGGATGACCAAGATGAATGTGGTAGCGTGGACGATCCTTGTGCAGGGTTTTGCGCAGCGCGGGCAAGTGGGCGATGCAAAGGCCGCATTTGATTCCATGCCCGAGAAGAACAGCATCACTCGCACAGTGATGCTCGTCATGTTTGCGGAGAATGGATTCGTGGAGGAGGCGGAGGATGTCTTCCAGGAGATTGTCCACCGAAACGCAATCCTCTGGGGGGCAATGCACTGCTGCTATGCCCAAAATGGGGATTTGATTCGCTTTAGATGCAAATATATGTGAGGCAAAGAAGACGTTTGATAGAATACCAACTTGGAATTTGGTCTCCTGGAACACGATGCTAGCAGCATATGCCCAGACCGGCCATGTGTATTCTGCGATCCAGCTCTTTTGGGCGATGTTTCTTCATGGCTTTGATCCCGACAAGGCAGCGTTTGCCCTCGTTTTGATGGCGTGTAGCCATCGTGGGCTCATTGAAAATGGGAAGTAGTGGTGTAGAAAGCTTGCGTTTGAGGCGCAGGTGGAGATGGGCTCATTGAAGTAGGGTGATAGCTCGTTCCCATTGCCTTCCTTTTGTATCCTATCTCCCTGGTTGCCTCCCAACATGCTTCATATGTTCTCCTCTCTGTGTTCCATATGGTATCCTCTCCGCTTGCGAAGCATTGCACAGCATGTTGCTGGAGCTGGGCCTCAGCCCATTCGTTGATGGCTAGCATTTACGAAGGCTTCATTGGATGTTGATACAGAGAATTAAGTTTAAAGACAATGGGCCCACTTTTATGATGGGCTTAATCTATGTTGACTGGATTGTTCTTTGCAAAGCATGTATGCAAGGCGATTTTACAAGGAAATTTATCAACTCTTCCGCAAAGTCAATGCCATAATCTGTCAAGAACCAAATCCTTGGAGAGCTTTAGGAATTAATATATGCATAATGAAGGATAGTTAAGTAATTTGATGATGAGAAGTTTGACATATGTTATCAAACATATTATCTAGCATAGCAATCATGGATGCTCAACATCCCAAACAATTCTCCCCATTGGAAATAAGAAATATCACAAGTGCCATTTCCTAGTCATCCATTCCTTTCGAAAACTTTCTTTCTATTCTGCAGGGTGGAGTTTTATATATAATGTTGTTGTATAGAGCAATATTGCTTCTTCAATGGCAACTAGCACTTGTTCAATGTTTCGTGACCAATCTATTCCCTTCTCTTCCAATATCATGGAATATAAGTATATGAAAATTTTCAAAACTAACATATTGGAGTACAATCTTAATCATTCTTAAACTCTTAGGAATACTAGACTCAACTAGAGATATACTTCAGTTCCCTTTAATCTTCCAGTCTAGCATCATTCCAAATCCAGGATTGGTATTCAGATTAGAATATTGCTAGTCTTTTGAGACAAGTATAATAGTTGTTTTGAATTGTTAGGATCATCCTTTAGTGATTTTAATCTACATTGAGTTATAATTTAAATAGATTGCTACTTTGTCCTCTATGACATGCTAGATGGAGAAAAAGTGTTATATAAGCTTATATTTTTAATGCATCAAGTATTCTTTACAAATCAAATATTTATTTTAATAGCTTTTTTTCTGCAAGCTATTTGCAAAAGAACACCCACAAGGTGTATGACCTGTTTAGTATTTGCACACATATATTCTTTATTTTTCCACAATACCTATCTTTTATGGCTTCAGTTAAGTTATAGTCATTTACACCTTTGAGTATTTCTTCAATTTAGGCACTATATTTTTGGTTTGCTTAAGCAAACCAACATAAGATATACCTGGGTATTCTTGAATATTCTATAATTTAATTGTTGATATTTATTTAGAATAATTTTGTGTTTATAAATTAAAAACATTTTAATAATGGTCATCACGTTGACTACATGCCAAAAAGATGTTCTAATGTATTTTCAAAGCTTTTAAATCTGAGAACTACTAGTTCAATGTTTGGACATGTGTTTGCAGGTGTGATTTTGTGGTGAGGAAGCAGGAGCAATAGGAGGTCCTCCAGACAAGCTAACTTCTCAAGTTTAACCAGCTGCCACCTCCATGCAAGGGTACTTTCCATGAGCTCAAAAGGTAGAGGGCTAGCTCTTGATTTTTTTTGGTTGTTCTCTAGGCTCCAATCTGTTAGGAGTGATGCAAAGAGACTGTTATTGATCAGGCCAGGGATTTCCAACCCAAAGCTATGTTTCTCATACCTGAAAAGAAATATACATATCCTCTTGTAGTTTCTCTTCTAAATAGAAGACAAGTGCCTGAGGTTGTACATATCGAAGTACAAACCAAAGAAGCAGATCAATGGATCTCCCCGCAATGCATCAATCAGCAGTCGAACAAGGCGAGCAGCGCATACTTGATCCTCTTCCAATCGATCCACTTTCCTGTAACCAATGGTGCTACCGTTGCTCACCAGGTACCAGCCCAGCTCGCTGTCCCATGCCTCGACGTGATATTCCATGACCCTTTGTCCCATGTTTACTGGCTCTCGGATCTCCAGTGCGTTGAACTTTGAGACCTTGCCAAGATCAAGCTCGATCCAGCCGGTCGTCTCCCCTTGCATTGGAGCCCAGAAAGTTTCCATACGCTCGTCAAGGATTTGCTTCGGCCCGAACGAAGAGCTGCGAACGCTGCTTGCTGTCACGGACAAGGGATTCGCTGCTAAGTTGACGCTGAAGATGGAATCTATGGCGGAGCTAAACCGCTCCAGCGTCTGGAAGTCGGATTCGTCGATCAGTCCCGACGAGTTTGGAGGGACGTTGAGCAGGAGCAAGCAGTTCCTGGCGGATGATTTGTAGAAAACGTCGAGCAGCTGCTCCAGGGATTTTGGAGCCTCGTTCCTGTGCCAAAACCAACCGGGCCTGATGGAGATATCGCACTCCGGAGGGAGCCAGTCGGTTCCAGCACTCTCTCAAGACATCAAGTACCTGTTGATGTTGCGAATTGGATCGAGTTTCACGAGAACGAAAGTTTCATGGAAGGATGGATTTTACGTACTGGCCATCGCTCCTGCCGATCGTAATGGAAAATCTGTTCGCCATCGCCCAGCATGGTTGTCCGGCCTCGCCATACTCATTCCCAAACCATCGGATGTTGGGGCCAGCGTCGGAAAAGATGTTGGCACCGGGGATGAATCGTGTCAAACCAGAGCTCAAAATCGTAGCTCATGTTCACTGCAGTGGGTGATTTCGCACCATCCAGCCACACCTCGGAGATCGGCCCATATCTGCACGCAAAAACAAAATGCCGCGTCAAGGCATCTGCTGCTAAAGATAAAAACTACAAAAGCCCACAAGCTCGCGAGTTCCTAATGCTAAAACCGTTTGATGGGCTGGAGCAAATGCAAACATATCACACAGTGATCATGCCACCAAGAAAAATGCGTGAAGAAGAAGCAAAGAATGTCTCACTCACCCAGTAAGAAGCTCGTGGAGCTGAGCCAAGTAGAACTCGTTGTAGAGAAGAGTGTCGCCATAGCAGCTCTCGTGCAAATCCCATGGCGAGAGGTAAAAGCCCACGTCCAATCCACGCTCCCTGGCGGCCGCCACGAACTCGATCGTCACGGCATATGCCGACAACGGGCATCTTGATAAAGCGCGAGAGATTTTCGAATTGGCTCCAGAGAAGAACGAGATCTCTTGGAATGTGATTATCACGCTTTGCATTCGCAGTGGAAAGATAGCTTCTGCCAAGGATTTGTTTGATCGGATGCCCGTGAAGACGATCGTTGCGCAGACTGCCCTCGTCACAGCATTGGCCAGGAAAGGGCATTTGGAAGAAGCCGAGGCTTTGTTTGAGAACATAAAGGAGGAGCGCGATGTAGAGTCATGGGCTTTTGGCTCTTGCTGTCTACAGACAACTCCAACCGAACAGAAAATGCAGGTTGGGCAGTCTTTTTCTCTTGAGTTGATACAAATAAAGACTTTCTGGCGACAGGCAACTGCATTTGAGGTGAAAAGGCTACTGATTGCCGGAAAGCAGAAAGAGGCTTTACGGGCTGCTCAAGACGGGCAACTTTGGGGATGTGCTCTTCTTATGGCCCGGCAGCTGGGAGAGAAGGTACCTTGTCTTGTAGCTTTGATGTATAGACCGTTAGTGATGGTCTTGTGGTTTTTAATAGTTCTACACCGACACTATAGCGGAGATGGCTCAACGTCAGTTTCAACCAGGGTTTCCCCTCTGGACTCTAACTCTTCTTTATGCTGGTCAACATGCCGGAGTGTTCGTAGGGAACACTAATTTGTCGAACGTAACAGCGCTTCAACCTCAACCGGTTCCAGCGTCTGCTGTAGATGGTGCAACACAGGTGAAATACTTTTATCAAGCTACTCTCTTGCTTAAGGAGTGCATGTTGACTTGCAGGACGCAGTAGAAGGAATGCTCGAAGAATGGCAGGAAAACCTGGCTATAATGGCAGCTAACCGAACTAATGGGGACGAGAGAGTGATTATGCATCTTGGTGATTGTCTCTGGAGACATCGAGATGAGGTATATACATGGTCACACTTTGAAGTTTTAACTTGCAGATATGTGGAGCCCATATTTGCTATCTTGTTGCAAATGCTAGTTTTGAGCCTTTCTCCCCTTCTGCCAGACTTTGTCTTATAGGTGCTGACCATTGTAAGTATCCACGCACGTACACTAGTCCAGAAGCTATCCAGGTAAGCTGTGTTTGTCCTCAATAACAATTGTTAACCTTTTCTTCATCAGCAAATGGAAGTGTACGAATTTGCAAGAGTGACCAGCAATTCCCAGTTTATTTTACTTCCTTTTCAGCCATACAAGCTTATTTATGTGTCGATGCTTGCTGAAGCTGGAAAGATAAATGAAGCTTTAAGGTTGGTAGTGATTTGAACTGTATCCTTAAGGTTTCTCTTCAAAGGTATTGCCAAGCGGTGTTGAAAACATTGAAAACAGTGGGCCATGCAGCTGATGTGTGCAAAGAAGCGGCTGTAGCCTTGGAAGAGCGTCTTCGTATTCACTCTCAGGTTTGTAATCGGACACTCGGCTTTTATACTCACTTTCCTGTTATCCAGGGAGGCTTGACATCAATTGTGCAACGGATTTTTGGCAATATTGGTCTACACAAGATGACAGGCCCTTCTTTCCCGAAAGCTTCTGATATGCTGATATTAATAACTGTCCCGCAACAACTTCTAGCAGAAGCAGTGTATCACTTGCCTCGTCAGCATCAATAGAACCCATAAGTGAAGTATCACTTGCCTCACCAGCATCAATAGAACCCATAAGTGATAATACAAGAAGTGTCACTTGCCTCATCAGCATCAATAGAACCCATAAGTAATAATATGAGAAGATCCAACATGCCAGCGAGAAGCATTTCTGAGCCTGACTTTAGGCCTGCACAGGTAACTCGACTTGCTCTTGTGTACCTTCGATTAAGACTTGTATTCTTTCATCAGATTGTTAGTCCAGCGAAAGGAACGCCAAGCAGAGGCGTCTTTACTTCTTTCGTGCAAAGAGCGATGGGCTTCATAAAAACACCTTCGAAGGAGGTTTGTAGAAGCTTTGGAAAGAGCACTAGCTGATTGATGGTTGGTACGTGATGCAGGCAAAGCTTGGCGACAGCACAAGTTTAGATACGATGAGACACTGAAGCGCTGGGTTGAAGAAGGAGCCGAGGCACAAGCGCCAGAGCTTCTGTTGGCTCCTCCTCCCACGGCAAACAAGCTTCTCTCGCGCGTGGAGGAGAATGGCGCTCCTATTTCCATGTCTCCAGAGAGACCACAGCCAACTCCGGAAAGGCCGCAACTGGTTGTGAGTGGAATCCCACCAATGCCTCCGAGCAGTAACCAGTACGCAGCTCACGCACATCAAAACGTTACATCAAGGTACCGTTTTGGTCATTCGCAGCACTCCAATCTCACGAGGTTTTTGCAGATATGTCGATACATTCAACAAAGGTAGCGTAACACCATCCAAGACATCATCAGACTCTCCTCCACTGTTTGGCATGGTGCCAAAGGCAAGTATTTCAATAAATACTAAAAATTCTAATTATCTCATTTTTTGAAAAAACTTTTTATGGAGTCTCTTCTTGAACTATATGACAACATTAAATATCTGTACTACAGTATTTAATAATCCTGCCTAAATTCAAACAAAGCTGATACAATCTATTAGTATTATAACACTACCCTTGCATTTCAAATTCTTTGTCAAGCTTGCATTTCAAATTTTCCCCCTCTTAGCCTTATGGTTTTTTCTTAGGTTTTATTATTTGGGTTCTCTAGGGTTCGCCACTACTGGTTCATGGATCACATATTAGGAGGCATTTTTCCTTCCTCTCTAGCACATCCTAAGCACATATCTCTCCCACACTGTTTTGGTTTGTTTATAGCCATGGTAAGTTTTTCTTTCCTCAAAACATATGGTTTCTATTATTATAAAGAATATACATTTGTATTTTAGTATTGCTTGGCGTGAGACTATATGATAGTGTAGTGTATTTACAAGAGAGTCATCCCATACTTGTTTATAGGGATGAGAGCGCATGCTTAAAGATCTCAAAACAAAAGAACAAAGATTTACAAGAGAGAGTCATCCAAAACTGGTCTACAGGTGTACAAGTGCACGCCAAGAAATCTCAAGCTTCTTTGGAGAAACTCAAATTTGAGTTTGGCTAGGCATGAACCCACACACTAGCTTAAAAAAACAAGAGACCATGAGAGAGAGAGAGTGTTAGAAATCCTTACATCTTTTAAGAATGAGTGTGAGACCATGCTTGTTCAAAGTTAAGTAACCCCCATTTCTCTGGTCATTTTACAAACTTGCACTTACCAATCTGTTTCTCTCCTAATTTGACTTTGGTTTATTGTGAGCTCATATTCTTTCATCAATACATTAAATTGGGTCTTTAGCGTGCAAGTGCATGCTAGAAATTCTTTGACTTTGTGTGTGCTTATTTTATGCATTTTTAATTATTTTTGCTATATATTTTCATGTTTTGTTTTCTCATATTCACAAAAGGAGCTTTGTTTTTTAATTTCCTATTTTCTTGTCTTTTTTTTGTACTTTTTTCCTTCTATTTGTGTTTTGATATTTGTAATTTTCTTTGTTTTTCTCAAGTTGTTAAAAGGAGATGTAATAGAGATTGTTTGGGATAATGGAGAATCAATTGCAAAGGGAAGAATACAATCTTTAGATGCTACTTGCATTTGTCACTATGCTTTTTTAAGAGTTAGATGTGTTTTGCTTTGCATTATTAAGGTGTTTAACTCGAAGTACTCCTACCTTATAGGTGAGTTGGATTTTAGTGAGTTTTCTATATAGAAGCAGAATCAACTGATGTCTCCAATAGAAATATTTTCTACCAAAATCTCTTAGAGAAATATAATTGGAACACAGAGGAATAATGATAAAGATGTTATTCCACAGAAGATAGAGAGTAAAAATATTCCAAAGGCAAGAATATCCCTAATTCTGATTGTTCTTCTATAGATATAAATGCTTGTAGTATATGGTATAAAGCTCTTGTGAAGATAGTGGATGCTATACATGCAGTTGTGGTTGAGGGATTAGTTATTGTTGTAGATCCTCAAGATGCTCTACACAACATAACTTTAGGGTGGGATTACATTGAAATCTCAATCTCTTCTTTTGTTGATGTTTCAAATAAGTTGGAAATAGGTAGTCTAGTTCAATGGAAACTATCCCAAACTCTTTTTGGTAATAGTATACCATCTACCATACTAATAAGCACTTGCATTTCTTCTTCACATTATTGAAAACGAAAATATACATTTATCAGATAGCAAATAGAAATTAAATACTAAGGATTTAACAAGTGGAGGTCCTTTGGGGACAATGGGGAATAAAAATAACAGTTAATCAAAGCATGGATAGCAATCAAAAATAAAAATACAAGAATCAAGAATCTAAAAACCTGTATTAACAACAACTTTGAGGACAACAACATTTAGAATATATCCACTACTCAGCTCAGACTTTTTGAACATCACCATCAACTTGAGAATATAGACACTTATAGTGAGAATGTGCACGACTTTATACAACACAATTAGAAGTAGGCCACAATTACTTTATAATAATTTAACACAACAAGGACTTGTAAAAAGAGTAGCCATAGTATGCAGTCCTGTTCGATCCCAAAGTTGGTGAGCAACGACCTTGTTGAAGACTGATCAACTTTACCG